AAGAGATATTTTTGTTTCTGAGCACATTTGGTCAGAGTTGTGAATGCATATGAAGCTTAGGAAGACATTTACTTATGCTCATGCACATTCACATACAGATGCTTCCAGTTTTTTGGCAGCTCAGAGAACAGGTTTAAGCTTTAGTAATGAAAAGCATATGTGTTCCAGAGACTGAACCTCCTCAGAGCCCATCTTCATTTGGAAAACAGTCCTGTCCTCACCTCAATCTGTTTGCCTTCTATCTTTCAGCAGGCCCTTCAAGCATGTGTTTTATGAATGATTGTGTAAATAACTCATTGTGTTGATGAGAGGTGAGTAATGTCTGCATTTGACATTTGGTGTGTTTACAAGCATCATTATGTATTTTCTTTTCTCGTTGCTTTACTGTGTCTCTTTCTTCACGAAGAGCATCATAGCTTTCCATCTCACTACCTTTCCTCCTTGCTGAAGAGCAGGGTTGGTCACTGGACGCTGAATCAAATGCTAATTGTTATACAAGCCTGGGCATTGAGGATGCATTAGCATGTGTATTGGTGAGCAATAAACGTCAAATAAATAACAGGTTTAACATAAAAATGATTCAAACCAAGGGACCAAGATTAAAATTGAAACAATCAATGTTTTAGATTCGTTCTGGTAGTTTGGGTTCTGCAGGGTCATGTGGGGCTTGTGAAGTAACTGCAAACAAATCACAATATTTATGCAAATTTTCTTCGTCACAAAGTATCTTAAAGCTACAACAGAAAACATAAAACATTTTATGGCTCTTAACAACATTCTAACATAATATTGCTATAAATATGTTGTGAAGATAAAATAAAGAAAAGAAATGAATTAAGTGGTTCTCTCGCATTTGTCTAAAAACCTCCACCAAACACACATTTTGGATTTAAAGTAACCATAGGAACATCCGGTTGTTGGTCTCACTGAACCGCTGCACTTCCCTGGGTCCCACACTCACATATTTAGCAGAACACCACTGGTGTGAGAGGTTCTTCGCCCAATGAAATCAGAAAAGGAAAAACAGTCAGCTACTACCACTTCAACTTTAGGACAGACTACCAGAGTCCCAAAAATAAAAACACCATTTAAAGTCGCGAACAACAACAACAAAAAAACGTTTGTACCTAGAAAACGGCGACTGGTGTTTAGCACTATCTCGTTTCCTCTGGAAATGCTGGTTTTCAGTTCTGGCAGAAGGGTTTCAGTGAAGACACCCAAGGGGAGGGATGAGTGTTGCGTGACAGTGTTTGCGTTAAAAACCTAGCTTGTTGCAGATTTACTAAAACCGCAGCTGTTCAAAATGTTTCTGGCAGATGGCTGCTGATGTTCAGCCAGGTTCTGTTGGAGATGTTTTCATGTTAAAGTTGAAGAGTTTTCCTCTCCACTGTCGCTACATGCTTGGTTAGTATGGGGATTGCTGTAAAGTCACTGACACAAGTCAGTGACAAAGATGGTCCATGAATGTTAAGTGACAGTTTGACATAGATCTGCCGGGCTTTTCAAATTCCAGAGTTTCACCATCTATTTTCTATAAGAATAGAAGCTAATGCAGAAGATGCTGGTTTCTCAGTGTCTATAAAATCAGATCGATGACATATTCATTATTTGTCGATTGAGGTTATTCTGACACTTCAAGCAAAACACACAGGCCCCCACGATTTCCATCTTCTGATCTAATGTTTATTATATTGGTTCAATAAAACCACCCCAACAGCAGAAAGAGTAAACTTTATGTTTGATTTTAACTGCCTGTAATCTGCCTGAAAGAGGCAAGAAGCTTGAATAAAACAGCCAAGTTCAGGCAATTGCACCTTTTAGAATTAAATCCACCTTTGCCTGCAGCAACACAGAATGATCCAGTGTCCAACAGCTGTTCTAAGAACAAAGTTCCTCCGTTCAACTTTCAGTGCTTTGTCGAAGCTGAAAGCTGCCAGGCTTCACAATTAGTGTAACATTTAAAAGGTCCTGCATGAGCTATAGTGCAATTCTCTGTAGACACACTACTCTTGCAACCAGCTGCTGTTCTCCACTACAAACCAGACAAGGTGCATGTGCGGAATGTGATGTCAGTGCATGATTTACACGTGACAGTGACTGGCAACTGTTTTATGTGTATTTATCAACATGCAGCTCGCTGGTGTTAGCATTAAAATCCTGCCTTTAAATACGACTGAAAAATCCCCACCTGGCTTGTTTCTGTGGAACAAACCAAACAGTTGCCATTGCATATTTGTGTACTGATAAAACCTACTTGTATACAACTACACTCACCAGCCCCTTCATTATGTAGACCTATCCAGTAGCTAGTTAGATCCTTTTTTTACTTTCAGAACTGCTTTATTTCTTTGTTGCATGGATTTAACAAGGTGGTCCATACTGACATGACAGCATTACACAGCTATATCCATAACGTGACTCTACCATTCCGTCATTTCCCAAAGGGAGAACAGTGAATTCATGATCAAGAAATCCCTTTGAGATAATTTGAGTATTGTGACATGGTCCATTATCCTGCTGGAAGCAGCTATCAGAGGATGCGTCTGCTGTGGTCATATAAGGATGGACGAGGTCAGCATCAATGCTTAGGTAGACTATTGGGCCATTCTCATCTGGACCGGGTCGACCCGGGCCGGGTAGCGTAGGTTGTTTACATATCTGGGTGGCCTGGTATTTTTCCGGGCCAACCAAGGCTCATTCTCAGCCCTCTTCTCGAGGGGGTCTGCTTCAGGCCGACCAGGGCCAACACACCCACTGCTGACAGCAAATTCACACCTTCCATTAGAGCAAGCCTCTGATTGGTGGGTAGAATCAGCCCACATGGGCTTAAGGCAAGGATGTGTGGAATCAACCGGGCCTGGCTGGGGCCGACTGGGGCTATCCGGCCCGGGCCGACCCGGTACAGATGGGAATGGCCCATAAGAAGTTTAAACCAGGCTCATCCGGTACTAAAGGGTCCAAAGAGAGCTGATAAAATGTCCATGACTCGACTATGAAACATCTTACCAATGTCCTACTGCCCAGTTCTGGTGATCCTGTGTGAATTTAAGCCTTAGGCCCAATCCCAATCCTCGCACTGTAGCCTAAGGTCTTCTGTGAAGTGCACTTGGAGGAAGTGTGCAGTAAGGGTTCGAGTGTGTACTACACAAGTGTGCCAAATTGGGATGGGGAGCATTGAGTCCTCGACTGCAATACATGTCGGGATGCTGATTGCTGTTTCTGCTACTTTAAAATCTTTATTAACAACTTTCAGTCAAACAAACAACTTCTTGACAAATTTACATTAATGTCCACATTAAATCTTCATCTAAAACATTCAGAGCATGAAAAAATATCATTAATTGTCCTAAAATAAACTTCTTTAATTTGAAAATACATATTTTCCGAAAAGGCATGCAGGAATGAATTGTTGGTAAAACCCTTCACCCAAGTCCGCATTGATGCAGACTTGAGCAAAGCAGTGAGTACTGGAACTGGGCATAAGTTTCCTGTTCTTATCTGATGAAGGACACCTGTGGTCTTCTGCCGCTGGAGTCTATCTGCTTCAAGGTTCAACATGTTTGATTCATAGATGCTGTTCTAAAGGCTTTAGCCGTAACCTCCGGTTACATGTGCTACTGTTATTTTATATAATACCAACCGAGTTGGCCCATTCTTCTCTGATATCTATAAGACATTCTCATCCATTCAACTGGGTCGTTTTCTTTAAAACTCCAGTAGATGAGTAGTTTCTGAACTTCTCAGATCAGCATTTCTGGTACAAGTTCTAAATCTAAACATTTTCTTCTTCCTTTGGATGCTCAGTTTGAACTACAGGAAGCCATCTTCACATAGATACATTCAGTGGCTCTCATGTGATTGGATAATTGGTTATCAAGCAACTGAACAGGTGTCTCTGATAAAGTGGCTAGATGAGTGTCTATCTAATCCTTGGAAAACTGTGAGCACTTCAGGATTAATTTTTTTCTGTAGGACAATTAAGTTCAAGTTACACGATTACTGCAAAGCTCTGCCAGGCCTTCCGTGACTCCGTGCTACTCGCTGTTTTTTCCTTCAAACATGAATCAATATGATTTTTTTATTGGCAACGCGAAGACCTGATTAGAAAAAGAAAACATTGAAGGATTCATGTTAACACAGTTTGCTTGCTTTTTTCTCACTAATTTAATTTCTTTACCTTGAGAGGGAGAGGTGAACCCAAACAAAAGTTAGGAACATTTCTCAAGGAATGCTCTGCTACTACCAGCCAAAATCAACTTCCGCCCAAAACTGGATATGCGGTCATTTTCACCAAAGGGCCTTCTGGAAAGTCTTGTAGGAGGGTGGAGCTGTGGTGACCCGCTCCATGTGTTATCAGGTCTACAAGATTATTGCTTGTTTCCTTATCTCTCTGAACACAGAGAGGTAGGCTGTGATTGTATCAGCGCTGCTTAGGGAAATTAGGCTATGGCCAAACATCGCTAAAGCACCAATAGGGCAAACACTGCAGTACAGAAAATGAAAACATTTACAGTACAGAACCAAAGAAAAGAATTTCAACTTGGAGGTTTCCAGATATTGTAAGGGTCTAACATTAACATTAATCAGTGATCTGGCACCATTGTTCTGCACCCATAAATTTTCCCTAAGATTCCTCATGGAGAGGTAAAACAGCGCTGGAATATTGCAACGTTCCAACTCAGGATGCCCCAAGCACTGGAGCTCCAGTAACAACAAAATGACAAAAACACTCGAGCGATAAGAAATGTCCAGTGACAACCACTCAAAGGGCAACGTCCATCCATCTGAGGAGCCTATCCCAATGGTTTGTGATGGTGATGAAGTACACACATTCCTTCATCAGTACATCAGATTTCCTTTCCTCTAAGGCACTCTGAGAAGCAGGACATTTTAATTTCTGCAGCTATGAGTGAATTGTTAAAAATGAGGATTTTTGCCTCATAAATTGTAGATTTTTGTCAAACTGTTTCAAGGAGAGATTTGTTCAGGTTACAACTTACCTGGTTTGGGGGCTTTTCCACCCTGACCTGTTGGGAGAAAAGAAGCCATCAATACTTTTATGTGAAAAAAGGTGATTTTGTAATTTGTAAACTACACAACTGTAGTTTTTGTCAAACAATTGTCTTTCAATCCACTGGTGATATGAATACTAAGCAGTTTTGGCTTGCTTTTAGCACCCCCTAGTGTCCGTTAGTGAAACCAAAAGTGAAACTTTTCTTGCTGTTTGCCTATTTAACACCCAAATCTAACTGCTGAAATGTCTCTTCAGCCTTCAGCAGCAGTTATCTCTGAATCAAACAATTCTGCTGTTTTGACAACCTGAAACATGCAGGAAACATTCTGGAAGCAGTCTCCGGCACTGGCACGTCAGCTCCACATTACTAAAACTGAAGTGGGACCTAACAGGGATCAGCCCGCCAACTCTGAAGTTGCAAGTGCGGTATTCTGGTCACAGGGGGCAGTGGGGGTCTAAGTGACATTTCATTAAGCCTGTAAAGGGTCGTTTTAGCACATACTGCCTCAAGAAAATGATTAAAATATGAAAAAGTTGCATAGTATGCCTTTAATGACAGCAAACACAGTGTTAATTTACCTGTTGGCAATCCTCCAAAGCCAAGAGCACCAGTTCCTACTCCTCCTGGCACCAAACCGCCGGGGCCCACACCTCGGCCTCCAGCTCCATAGCCTCCTGGTATAAGGATCAAACAGAGAATGTATTTAGAATTTTGTTAGTGTCTCCACACAGCTGCTATGAGAGCTTTCATAGTGCTGATGAAGTTCTCCATTCAGCCCACATATCTGTGAACAACACTATAAACCTCAGATGATGTTTCATCAGAGGAAATAATTCATTTAGAAAAGAAATTTTTTAACTTGAGCTGTTTCATTATTAGACCCTCTATTTTTCATTAGGGTACAAGAGGAGGAAAAAAATTCATTTTATTTATATCACCAAGGTGAAGTTGATGCTGTTTGACTTACTTTTTTAAGTAAACTGATGTTTTATATTTGTTTTTAAGTTAAGCTATTGTTTCCAAGGTCAAATGAAACTGTTTCATGTTGTTCCTGTAAAACATGATGGTGTCTTTTAGATGCATGGAGCCCTAAACAGTTGCAGTAACCAGCTTGTCGTTTTTGCTTTCTAGTTTGTTCATTTAAGTGGAATCTTTACATTTTGGTCATCTGATTCTTGAGTTGGAGGAAGTAAAATAACATATATCCTTTTTACCAATTACATGCATGAAAGAGATAAGAAACACACAGGCCATTTCTGGTGTTGATCTAAGATGCTGCATGATGGAGTCAATGCCTTGGAGCAATCTATCATTAAAAGGTACTCCAGTTTTCTCTCACAGGGAAGAAAGCATGCATGTTAGGTTAAATAGTGAGCCGAAATGGTCCCTATGTGTGTGTGTGTGTGTGTGTGTGTGTGTGTGTGTGTGTGTGTGTGTGTGTGTGTGTGTGTGTGTGTGCGTGTGTGGTGTGTGTGTGTGTGTGTGTGTGTGTGTGTGTGTGTGTGTGTGTGTGTGTGTGTGTGTGTGTGTGTGTGTGTAATAGACTGTAGCCCCGCCTCACATCCACTACAGATGGACTTGAACAGGATCAAGCCGGTAAAAGAAATAAATCGATCCAATATTGATTTGCAGTGACATAATTTCTTTATGTTAAGAAAATATTTGTTAAGTGTGATCCGAAAGCCTTATCGCGTTTTTCCCACCAAATCAAAGCTGAGTGCTTATACAATAAAATGCCCGTTAACATTAACGTTTCAGAGTTAGATGTTTCAGCAAATGTAAAAAGGTCAAACCTTCAAAAATCATCACAACACTCATCCTGCCTTTGCTCTAGATCTCTCAGCTTCAAAGAAACTCTGAGTCAATAAAAATAATAGAATAATAATTTACACTTGATTCACTGCATTTGACCGATCATTGAGGAGCTGTGGGCCGCCGTTTTCAACAAACAGCAGCTGGAACTGTCAACATTATGTAGCTGATTTGCTGCTCGTGTGACTCTGCTGCAGAGCTGAAAGTATCTGCCACAAACAAGTGAAGCAACAAACAGCAGACGTGATTGATCAGGCGTGGAACATTTGGACAATCAGGAACCCCAGAGAGCAACATGCTGTCATATCACAGTTAACCAAAAACACAGAGGAGTGAAATTAGAGAAATTTAACTGTGGAATAAAATTTAAATATTATTTTATGAATGCTTTATTTGGTACAAAATAATCTGATCCACAAAAATAAAGAAATAAAAATCATTGGGTCAAAAAGAGGACAAAACTCTAAAAGTGAACTTGAGCCAACATGTAATCACTTCAACATATATAATCCTGAAAAATAACATGGACTTTATTGTTTCAGCAGAGTTGTGGTTGCACTCGTTTGTAATAAACCAGGGGCAGTTCTTAAAAATATTCTGGCATTAGTGGAAAAAGCATAAATTTAAAGTGTCCTCCACTCACCTGCAGCTTTAGCTGGTTTATAGGCTGCGGGGAATTGTCCAGCAGACCCTAATAAAACAACAGTCATTCAGGTTATTGATTTATGACTACATATAGTAAAGTCATGCACAGTTTATGGCTCCACATTTCATCATCACAACAGTTGATGCTGAGTTATTCTAGCAGGACACATGAGAGGGGGCTGTTCTATACATGCATGTAACATATGGAGCCTTGCAAACTAATGTTCTACGTTCAATGGGTCAATGTGTGCATATTTACAGAATGCTGTTTGTTATGTGAGAATATGTACATACTTGTAACAAACAGGACATAAATAAATCAGGAATTACAACAAATTTAAATAAATTATAAAAGTCCAAACATCATGAGGCAGCATCATGAAAGTTCTGAAATGATGTCAAAACTTCTATTAAATAAAATTTTTTGTCATTTTTTCATCATTGATTGTATTTATAATTGTTAAACATTCAACTGAAAGTAGAAAGTTGCAGTTAGAGCGAGCAGCTGTCCCCACAGACATATGTATGCAACATGGACTGGCGCTGCCTATTGAAGTTTGCATAGTAGCGATACGCCATCTTGGATGGGTCTCCAGTCACCCCTAGTGCATTTATTTCTACTGAAAAAGGTGCTTACCCAACTAAAAACACATTTCAATATAATTGTTACCAAAATCAGACAAATGGGATGGCATAATATTGTAACGGGTTACGTTTTGTTGATGTTGGACTTCTATTTTGAAGTGAGTGCTCTTGGGGGTGAGTAAGGAGGAAGTTCCAGTTCTTGAGGGAAAACAGAGTTATTGAGTTTCTTGTGACTTTTGAGGGGGGTTAAGCTGTAAGACCTGGGTTATGGCCGTCAGTTACCCAGAATAAAGAACCGAAAGGACCAGAGAAAGAGTGGAAGTCATTACAGTATGATATAACAGGCAGCTAGAAAAGTCAATAGTAATCCCACGTGATCTGTTTTCAATAGAGCTCTGGTTGTTGCAGTCGTAGGCTGCACAAAAGTGGGCATAGTTCTGCGTTGACTCCAGTTGGGTTTGGAGAGGGAGGAACCCATTCAATATGGTGAAAATGTTGTTATGCTTCCAGCACACAATTGGGCATCTACGTATTCATGTTTATGGCTGTCCCTCCTAGAGACTTTGAAGTCCCGCCCCTTTATGTACACCAATGAGACTTTTTTCTGAATAAAATGCCTCAGATCATTTTTTACAGATGTTAAATTCTGTTGATCCAAACAGTTATCACCTTAATGCAGGGGGATAACTGTTTATCACCCTGTATTGGGGCAGCAGTAACACAGGAGGTAGAGCGGGTTGGCTCATGATCGGAGGGTTATGGGTGCGATTCCAGCTCCCGCCAGGGGTATTCTGCTGTTGTGTCCTTGGGCAAGGCACTTCACCCAACTTGCCTGTGTTGGTGGTGGTCAGAGGGGCAGACGGTGCCAAATAGCAGCCTCACCTCTGTCAGAACGCCCTAGGGCGGCTATAGCTACGCAGTAGCTAAACATCACTGGCAGTGTGTGAATGTGTGAGTGCATGAAAATGTCTTTGAGTGTCCTAAAAAGTGCTATATAAGTTTGATGTATTATTATTAATGCTGCACTTTATAATATTAACTATAATATTTACATTTTTCATTACATTTTTGCTAGAAAACAAACAGATTAGTTATCAAGTGGAAGGTCTTACCTGGAAAGTATCCAGTACCTGGCCCAGTAGCTCCTGGTCCAATCCCAGCTCCAGGTGGTACATACACACCTGGAGGCACATCGGAAAAACCAAAAGGTCATCTTCTATCGCTTGTGTGTGTGTGTGTGTGTGTGTATGTGTGTGTGTGTGTGTGTGTGTGTGTGTGTGTGTGTGTGTGTGTGTGTGTGTGTGTGTGTGTGTGTGTGTCAGGCAAACATTCACAAACACATTCATCATCTCTGAACCAGAAAGAAACATTGACATCTGTCCTTGACGTGCACAGCTGACCCACATCACAGCAGTGATGGAAATGCTGCATCGACTGCTTGAACCAGAGAAAGCAAATAAAACCAAAGAAACCTTAACTTTATAGGTATTGTGAGGAATTGGACTTTGATTTGTTTTCCTACTGATGAGGTACCACAGTTGGAACACCGTGGACACCTCCAGCACCCCTCCACCCCCAGCTTTATTCCTCTCCTGATTTCTGGCTGAGACTCAACGTGACTCCTAAGATGCTCGTTCTGGATTCTAGACACGAAGGCCTCGGGTGTGCAAGGAATACCAACAGAATAAAAGACGTAAAAAGAATGAATCCAGTTGTTCCGGGACAACTAACAACTGAATCCAAAGGGACTGGTGAGCTAAGGCCTGAATGGCTTTTTTATAGTGTTTCCAATCTAAGTAATCTGGTTCATATCAAATAATCACAATGCAAATGAGAGAACAAGGCGGTTGGAGTACAATGATTATGTTTAATGGCTCTTACATGAGCTGGGAGGCCAATTAATTCAAACCACATGTCAGAGGCGTTGGTGTGTTTATTACATAGTACTGGACTCTTGGTGCTGACCACTATGTTCAGTCATAAGGTGAAGAACATTACAAGGTATTACTGTCTGGAGTATTTATGTATTAAACATAAAAATATCCTCCTTCTGTATGTTGAGCTGGCATCCTGTTTGGTTCTCTTTAAGTTAGAAAAGCTTTGACTTTTTCTTTAAGAAGGAATTGTGATAAAAATCTTTTTTTTTTATTTCTATTGAACTGGTCAGGAGAGGAGCCACTGATGCCATGAGCATAAATGTACAAAGGCTACTCTGCTAATTTGAGCTGTTTACTCCAATTTAGAAAGTCCCAAACTCGAGAAGTCGGTCGTCACGAGTCATGTTGAGAGTAGGAGATTTAGCCTTTTTCTAATTAACTTCTAAGTGTCAATGGAAACAGTTGACGTGTGCATGTTTCTAACTTTGAAGATCAGAAAACTAAACATTAATGGGACAGATCACATTTCCAGAGGTTTCTAATGCTAACCAAAGAAAACAAAAGCAGTTCTGCAGAGTAAAGAAATAAAGAGTTAAAGGTCTGATTCTGTGTCTGATTAGGAGTAACATCTGTGAGCGTGTTTGTTTATGGGTTTATCCATGCCCATAACTCACACAGGCCGCTGTGCCCCGGACCACACAATGGCTGTGGAGTGAGCTTTCTCCGTTTTTGCTCTTTCACTTCACAATGAAAAGAAGGATTTCCTGTCTTGGCGGTAAAACGGAGCAGTGAGTCTGATCCACTTTTCCATTTGCTTAGAATCAGAGTGCACAGGGTTCACTAAAACTGTGCATCTCCAGTATGTAATGCAACCTTTACCAAAGGACCTAACCTTCAGTAAAGATGATTAACCATAACACATCCATAGATTTCCTTCTGATTGTTTTAATTCAGCCAGTCACTGTTTGATAACATTTCTGAAGGACTAAACCAGGACTCTATTGACAGAAGAAAGCATTCAGAGGGTAAAAGACTTTACCTTTAGGTCTTTGGTTAAATTAAACAAAAGTCTGTCAGATAATAATTTCTCTAATAATAATCAGGCTTCCACGTGAAAACAGAATAATTTATGTTAATAATGGGGAGAAATGACTGACATAACTGAGAAAAATAACAATTAATCTAACTTGATGCTGACCACTACAGGTTAAACTTGAAAAATTTATGTCAGTAATCCAGTTTAGACTGAGAGACCATCTAAAGCACATGTGTCAGACACAAGGCCCACGGAGCATTTTTATGTGGCCCGCGAGATAAATATAAAAAATATATTAAAACTGACCCGCTGGCCGATTTTACTGCAAAGACTACAACTCCCATGATCCTTTGCAGCGTTAGTGCGGCGCCCCCTCCTTCGTGGTTTTCCAGCGTCTGCTGCTAGTGTCTGCAGTTCCGCTGTCTCGGACAAACTATACACACCTCTCACTCAGCGCCGAGTTTACTCAGCTATTTGCCGATGTTGAATAACAGAAATGAAGATTTTAACCGCTCAGTAATGTGTTCACGACTGAAAGAGAAAGTTTTCCAACTAACTTCCAGACAGAGCTGATATAACTCCAGCGAGCAACGACACGCTCAAACCAGCATGACTCTGTGGCTGCTGTCGTTTTTATTTTTCCTCCCCGACACACAACAACGTGGTCAAGCTGCTCAGACATGTTCAGCAGCACAAACCTATGTGAGCACCTGTTGTCATCTAATGTTGTCATTATTATGATGAAGATGAACAAAACAACAGGAGTCTCCACCTCAGCTCAACTCCATGATGCAGGTATCTGGCTGGAACAGGTGAGCATTACAGTACGGTAAACCAGTGGAGCAAACTGAGCTTAAAATATTTTGGTTTTATGCTCTTTTTCTGCTCCAAAACATGAAAGTAAACAGGTGAGATATTGCATTTTCATTTTAAATAAAATTATATTTTTATTTTGTTGTTGGCACGTGAGAAAAGATTTAACCTACAGTAAACAGGAAGTGGAAAGGCTGCAGATAGATGAATAGAATAGAAAATCCCTTTATTGTTCCTCAGTGGGGAAAGCTAGATGTCACAGCAGCGATGACACTTATTACAGGAATAAAAAGGGGAATAAAAAATAAGAAAAATGAATAAACAACAAGAAAACATAAATTCTTAATAGATTTTAAAAATGCTGAATATACCACAACTAATGAAAGCCACTGATGCCTTTTATTTAAAATTGACTTGCTCGTGTGTAATTTGGTTATCCCAAATTCAGTGTTAATGCAAAAATAAGTTTGTTTCCAAATTAAAAGGTTCAAAATTGCATATATATTGATAAAGAAAATATACAAATTTGCCGTCACTTTTTCAAAAATATTAAGTTTGGCCCGCAACTTCGTCCCAGATTTTCATTTCGGCCCAGTGTGAATTTGAGTTTGGCCCCCTCATCTAAAGGCTCAGGAACCCTTTGCAGGTGAATTGGATACATTAGCTGATTAGTGACACTTTGTGTCGAGAATATTGAACCTTTTCACAATGTTCTAATTGTCTGAGATTATGAATGTGGGGTTTTCATTAGCTGTAATCCATAATTATCACAATTATATCAAATAAAGGCTGAAATATCTGAGTTTGTAATGAGTCTAAGTTCAGTTATTGAAAATCAATTTTTGCGCCATATTCTAATTTTTGGGGTTCGACCATTATTATTATCTTAGTGAAATAATAAACGTAACAAAATGAAAGTTTGTGGGTTATTTTTTCTAAAACAGAAGATTTTACAGGGTTGAAAGGACTGCTGGGGTCAACATCAAGTACATACAGAACAGAAGTAACTTGGAACCCAAATTTGCGACAGAACATAATTTTATTTTGTTTGTTTAGATTTTAATTTGGAGCTTTATTGTTTCTAAGTAGGTTCTATTCAAGTCTGTTTCTGTTTATCGCTGTTGAACCTGGATATCCTCAGTAGTCTTTTCTCTGATTAACCACTAGCTGTCACGATGCGAGCAAGGAGGTGGTTAGGACCCAAAATGCATAAACCCAGGATGACACGAGGCAGGGGTGGAAGATGAAATAAAAAATTTTCATTTGGGGATAATCCAAAGGAAGGGAGCCAAAAACCAAAAATCTAAATACTGAAACGGAGATTAAAAAAAAACACTAGAGACTCAAGAAGTTCTAATAACACTAGAGATCCAAAATCGAGACGAGACTGACAGAAAACAATGGACCGACAAACAAATAGAGACACAGACAGGGTTATATACACTGGGGAGGATGAGAAGGAGATGAACTGCAGGTGTGTGGGGAGAGAGAGACCAGGTGAACTCAATTACTTATTCAGGGAGAGGGCAGTGAGTTGAGGAGGAGGAAAAATAACATTATCTAAACAGAACCTAAAAACGAGAGCCAAATAACAACTTAACAATCTGGGGAAAGAAACACACTAAAAGCAAAATAATAAACTAATAATCTAGGGAGATAAACACACTGAAAGAGACTAATATATGAACCGGAAACTAAAGGAAAACACTACAGAAAGAGACACTACAAGGGCGTGACTAAGGAGGACCACGGGGAGCACAGGACCTGGAGGGAAATACCTGGGGGGGGGGGGGGGGGGGGGGGAAGGAAAACTAGAGGGGCTGCAGCTCTGGGAACACATGAGGAAGACGCAGACAAGGACACATGAGGGCGCTAGGAGACACAAAAGGAGAACCTAGAGAGGGATGGAGAACACAAGGAGACACATGAGGAGAGACGCAGACGCAGACCATGAAACTAGCTCCTCATTTTTCACCTGAATACTCCTCCCTGTATAATATGCCAAGAATTTTTTATTTTTCAGAGATGCTAAATACTAAAATATTGTTGTGTGAATCCTGGATTAAGGGAATGACTTTTTTGTGCCTACTTTGCCTCTGTAATTTATTTTTTAACTAACTTCAGCTCCATCTGTGGGATCCTCCCAGGTACCATTGTAGCGCTTCAGCACCCCCCAGAAATGAGCTAAAACACCCATGGCTCCTTTCATCATCGATCACATCATCTAATTTTTCCACATCTGCAGCAGAAGCACAGCAGTGACTGATTCTCTGACACTTCTTTGAAAGTCTTGTTTGTGTGTTTAGCATGAAAACTCATGATTATTTTACTTTTACTTTTAGATAAAATGATGACATCACCAGCTGATGTTTAGAGACTGAAAGAGAAGGTCCAAGATGCATCAATAAATGTCCACGAGCGACAGGAATGAAACGCTAACCTTGACTATGACTAT